TTCGCAATGGCGCCGGTGCATTTATTCTCTGTGTTCTCTCAAATCCTAATCTTCTGGACTCATCAACCCCTCTAGTTTCGACTCTCTAAACTTATCTCACTGAATCATACTTCTTGAATAGTATCTTCTAATCCTAACCTCTCCGATTATTTCTAATTCCCTTACTACCTCTTCTACTATTGGATTTGAATTGACGATTACTTCTCTGTGCTGATGTGGTATGGCAACATGAACTGATGTACTTATGTACAAAGTTCTACGTTGCATCTGAATGAATGAATGAATGAAAAAACAAAAAGATTTTTATTAAAGATAATTATGTATTATTCATCGTCACATTTTTCAATAGTTTCATTATAATAACACAATGAATCTGGTAGTATAGATTCCAAATAATTTCTATGCCATTTATGAAGAATTGGATAAGTTATAATGAATTGATGATGACATAATGAACAACACACACGGATTTGTCGTTTTCTTATTCTTATTTTACCAAATAATTCTAATGGAATTAGACATTTTTTACATAATGATCGACGTATAACACATGATAATCGTGTTTGTGATTTTCGACTAAAATGTTTTAAATTTTGTCCAGTCATACGACATAATAATGCTGTAAATGATTCATTTCCCAATGTGGATGATTTTGAATTGATGCATACGGTTATTTGTTGATGTAATAAATTCATATGATGATGAATAGGTGAAATATTTGTGGGATTATTATTATCATTATTATTATTATTGTTAACTGAATGTTTTTGTTTCACCATAGTTCATCAATTGTCCATTTTCTTTTTTTTTGGTCAGTAGTATCGTTATCTATAAATATTATCGAATAGAAGAATTATTATACATTAGGATTAAGTTAAATTACTTGATATTCAAAATGACCATTAAACAGTATGTTTACATACTAGATAAAACCGTTGTATATAGAAGCGTTAACTGTATTTCTATTGGTCAATCTTGATAAATGTTACTTCTGGTTTACTTATGTGTTGGAAATATTTTTTGCTTTAGAAATTCAAACACATAAAGGTTAGTAAGAATGGGAACTGGATTATTTATGCGGGCTGATTGCAATACTGCTTAGGTGCTCAACCTGAAGCAAGTAGTTTTCTTATGGGACAACATAGAAGTTTGATTCACAAGGCAGTGGACCAACATCAGGAGATCCGTTTCAATGGCTGCCAGTGACTAACAATAAGTTCATACGCCATTTGTCTTCACAGGATTTTGTAGTCTATGTGCTCCATTAGTTCAGGATTCGGGTCTGCCAACTTTCCATAAGTGGATCCTCTGTACCCACTGAACCGGTTTGAGCACTGGGTACTTGGTTTCCCTGTTCTGATATTCATGACTACATGAGAGCATTTAAAGAGAAAACAAACTTTAATTTTACTGTATACTGAGTAATTAATGCATTCAACTTCTGGCCATTATGTCCCAAGCAAGAACTGCAGGAATCATGCTTTAGGTGGAGCAACTGAGTTGTTTCGAAAAAACTAATTGGGATATGTTTATGTTGGAATGAATAACGGTCATTATTTGTGGTTCCAAATGTTCTTTAAGCGTATGAATGAATGATTTTTGTGCAAAAATTGAACAGGCCTTAGCTACTGTCTGACTGGCTAGTCGATACACCATAGCGCTGCAATTAAATCTGACGCTGAAATTAGTAAACTAGTCTTAAAATAATCGCCTCACCGGTTCATTTGGGGAAAAGGCGCGGCTTTTTATGTTTAAGAACATGTACATGGGACGTTAGGCCATCCGAATGTCAACGGCTCGTTCCATGAGATCCAGGGAACACTACTAGCACAAAAATAAGTATAGACGTATTGCTTATAACTGCAGATTGCATTTAACCCGTAAAACAACTTAGTAAAGATGAAAAAGCATGCAATTGTAATAATAGTATACTAAAATAAAATTCAACACCAGAAATCACAGCGGGGTCGTAGAGAAGTAATACACGGAGTAAAAATGTGTAGCAAATAACAAAAGTTACATGAGAATGCTCATTAAAATAACTACAAAAAGAGTTAACTCGATTACCAAATGTTATTCTGCACGAATGGTACTAAAGTCGTGAGGAAAAGTCAAACTGATAGAGTTATTAGGATATTCCTATTGGGATAGTGAAGCACTATTAGAGTCTTTAATCAAATGCAAAGATGCAATCGAGCATTGGAAGTAACGCAAGTGTCAATTATGCGAACAAGAATATCTCACCATACAATAGCACAAACAAACAAAAGATGTACCATCTCTAATATCTTTTTCACGAGCTAGTATAAACCTGTTGATTCCTTTGCACTCGATTTCTATTCTTTCGGTAAGGCTTCAGGTGTTCGGTAGTCTCCAAAGAATAGGGGTCCAGCCACTCCACTTTCTAATTCTAGTCAGTAGGCATTTGTTTGCCAGTTTGTAAGACAGAGCATCTCGTGAAATAGTCATGAAGCTGATCGACATTCGAAGTGAAAATAGTAATCTTAGCATTCCTATCTTACCTGTTATTGGGATGTTACAAGTAACACGTCGTTTGAGATATTATTATTATTATGGTGTGCCCTAATTAGGTTGTGCATTCTTGATGTCTCTTACAGTTTACCAGTGTTTATCAACTGTTATCCTCCACTATTCCCGTGACCATGGAGAGTGTTAAAGATGCTCTCTCATACACATGCAACTTGCTCTGGTGTAACATATGTAGGTCTCGCTTTCGTTCGGCTTGTGTATTTCGTTTACGATTATGCTAAACATGACTGCGCCACGGTCAATACTTCCTTTCGGTGTGTAGACATGAACATCCTTAACCAGGAGCAGAGTGTTTGTTAGCCAAAAGTCCCGGTTTCAGGATTTTCCATCCTTAGTCCATCTGGTGGTGTTGTGTACAAGCTCAGCTAGTACGGAACTTTTGATGGCCGCACCAATTCGCTTGTGGAACCGACCTGTGGTAAATGTGCCTTATTTGCTGAGATTTAGAGCTGAAGGGTTGAAAACTCCAGCTAAGAGCACTTGATCAAACTCAAGGAGAGGCAGTTGCCGAATTACCTCAGCCAATTGATCTTTCGGAAACTTAGTACATGAGTGTCCTGGCAAATCCCTCCAAACAAGTGTTTCGTGCCATTTGCGTTGAAGCAGCATCATCGGTTAGTTTGGCTTCTAGAGTGTTTCGGTTGTTAATACATATGGCCACTCCACCTCAAATCTTGTGTACCTTAGCGCATCAAAAAGTTGCCATGTCTTCAAGCTCACTTTGACGTCTGCAATGTCAGGATCTGCTGGATCTCTAACAGCTTGCTCTCAGTCATCTTACGTCTCTATTGGGTTGCTTGGTGGTTTGTCTCATCATCTGACAGCCTCCTCAGCAACAGCTGACTTTGGTTTTTTAGACAACTTGTTCAGGTTCCCTGGGAACTATTCGCTGCAGTTTGTTTGCTAGTGTAGTTTATTCAATCAGCAGGATCATGATCTTCGTGTCTTATGCCGTGGGTTGTCGATTAAGGTTCAATGAAGTTGATATTAGCTTATTTTGCCTTCCCAGTTGTTGTTCTTCAGATCTAAGTCGGCTCTCACAACGTCTACTGAGACTAAAGAGATATTTCTTCTTAATGTCCTAAGCCTGAAGCGCCACAGTTAAGTCTTCCTGAGTACTGAAGTCCGCAAACTTCAGATGTAGAGACCTAGTAGTCGTAAGGTGTGACGGTTGAGGCAACCGGGAGCAGCTTTTCGCCCTGACCGCTTTTTTCCCTGCCTGACTGGAATAGGGAAGGACGGTTTAATCGAGCGTCTCTGGGAGGTTCGGAAACTTGTGCCGAGTCTGATGTTACTCTCAACGGTGAGGTCCCGCTTTAGTGACGTTCTGGCTCTTGAACAGACAGCATAGTTTTCTCTGGGCACTGCTGACTCCAAGGATCCTGCAATACTTGTCCCACTGTTCTTGATCAAAGAAAGCCAGAATTTCCCTAACCATCCGACAGTGGAACATGACTCAGCTTGTAAAGTAGTCTTTTATTTTTCGCCTGTTTAAAAAGAAATAAGAAACATATTTTATTGGGTAGGTTTCGCTAAGGAATACATACATTTAATAGCCACATAGTGCTATGCAACTATATTGTTGTTTGAGGCTGGTAAATAAGTAATATTATGTAGCTTATCGCGTTTAGTCTTAAGGTACTTTGTTTACAAGAAAATCATTCAGACTAGTGTCAGTGAAAGAGCTGAGAAAGAAAAGAACAAGCATGAAGTTAAAACGACGAGCTGGAAAATGCAGAAAATGCACTTGTATTTGGTGAGAAAAGTAACGGTCAGAAATAAGTAACCATCTAAAACTGAGAGTAAGGAACCCTGAAGATGAAAACTCGAAGCATATAGTGTGAACCTTGTATTTTCTGTAGTTACGATGCATAGAAATCAACAAAGGCCAGAGGGCGATTTGCAGAAACGTAAATGAGTGTTTTCCATTTCTTATGTACCGTCATACCCAGCTAGAGAATATGCTTCTGAATAAATAATTGATTTGGTGGTTACTTACCTGGCCAACCAAATAAATAAGTGAGAAGACTGAGGCAGGCGCGGGAGATTGTATTATACAAATTTACACTCCTAGTCAATTAAAAACGAAAACATTACATTGAATACTCTATTTGCACACCATCTTTGAGTCGTGACCTCCAACGCTCCATCCTTATTCCATTCCTGCTGTTGCTTCCTTTACTTCCTGTTGGTACTCCATTTACTCCGTGCTTTTGCTCCATTTGCTTTCCGTTTTCCTCTTGTGACCGTGAGACTTCTTCTTTAACGTCCCTTCTTATACTACTTATATCGTTCGTATAAGAATCACACACCACATAAGTACACAGCAACTAAGTAATCAAGTAGTAAAAAATTAGATTGGAACTACGTATAAAAAGCTGAAATGTATGGTACATGACTAATTTTATCTAGGTCTATATGGCCAGTTGGGATGCACTAAATTGGACACAGTCAAACAGAAAAAAATTAATCACATTCAAAATCAAAAGCCAAACAGAAAGTTACTTGATAGCACGAAAACGTATTCTTAATGAACGCAAGATGTGGTTCCCTATCCACATCAAATAGCCACAGACTAATTATACACAGCAACATGAATACAAGAGTTTGGGCGCGAAGTGTGAGGAGAAATATTCACTTCAAAGTTAGCTTACGTACAGAAAACAAGGGTATTTGTAGATACTCAGGAAACTAGACTTCTGGAAAGTTGGAGAAACCGTAATGAATCTTTTTGCGGCATGGCTGAATATTCAATCAGAATCGTGCTATGTTATTCACCATTTCCAGATGTTTCTTCGGGGCTTCTATTCAAAGCTGAGCGAGTGAAACATTTTCTGGCTATTCTGTACCTCTATGTGCTTTTATGTGAGATTCCAGCGTAATCCCTCCTTGAATTAATTAAAGGGAAGACATGATAGTTCAGACGAAATACGTATATTTGCTGGTGATTTCATGATGTCGAACAAGTACAGAAATCGTGCCAGAGAAATGGGTGAAAGGTACATGGCAGCAAATTAATATGGGGACCGCTAAGAAGGAAAGTGTAGTACGAAAGTACGAATAAACAGAGTGTTCGATAAAATGTTCATTGATACAGTTAGAAATAATAATGAATGTTGCTACTTAACCAATCGTGTTTTTTCAGTAAGACTTAAGTCACTACAAGGTTGACAGATATTCACTGAAAAAGACAAAGAACATACCGAGATCCAGCAGGTAACGAAAGATCTGACCGGATGGGCCTGATTTATCTATCACAAGGCTAAGATAGATTAACCGTGACTTAAAAATTAAGAAGCTACTACATTACCCGCCTTTAGTCTTTTTATCTCTGCTTATCTCTTATTTTTGCACCATTTATTTTACCTGACGTTTCCCATGCAGCTTATATTGCAACGTTATCTTTTTGGACGACTTCAAATAACAGGAGGTATAATTTGTACAAACGAATATTTTGACATAAAAATATCAGAAGACTGAATAGTGAGAAATGGTTTGTACAAAGTTTGCCTCATACGTATTGGAATAGCGATATAGCCTTCAAAAATGAACTCATCATGATCTCGATATGGTTCAAGCAAAATAGCAAAAACCGGGAATAGTTACAAGCGACATAATAGAAGTATTCTTAGTGTTTTGAATTATCTGTCATTAACTGAAGTAAGCTGGTTACGAATTGCGGATCTTTTAATTCGGAGTAGACAATTATCTTTTTGTTGACAATCCATTAACAAGGGACTTAAATCACTCAATGAGAGTAACATCCTATTAACAGGAACTAAGCTAACTGAGAATGAACTTTCTCACTTATGTTTTACTGTTGAAGAGTGAGGAATATTATCATTTCTTACAATAAACGAAATTCTTTTGAGATTCTTTACTGTTATTCATGAATTGATTGTGATAGAACTGTCCACACAGGTGTCAAGGCTAAAAGTGGGTCTACAATGGTTTAAAATGTGCGACCACTGATGGTAATATGTGATAGATCAGTGAACAATGACGATAACAGATATTTAAGCCTTATAATTGGTAAGACGATTTCATATCATACATTTTTATTTATTGTTGGCTTATAATCAAGGTTTCACAGAATGTGAGTCGCTTGTAGTTCGGATAACAAACTCTGTTCTAGTCTATAATATGGTTCTCAATCGTTAATCTTCAGTCGTGTGTGAAGACTTAGTATAGTGATACAATAATCTTGTTTCTGTTATCGTTTTTATTCGTTGAGTATCAAATTCAGTCACTGAGTATTATTGTGTCTCCAGACTATGAACATGTCTATATACGAAGTGTGGGGAGATATATTCACTTCATAGTTTCGGGGTTCCGTAACACCTGACTAACAGAGGACAAGATTCTATTCAAAACAGGATAGTTTGACTCTATTGTCTTTAGTGATAAGTAGTGCAACTAGAAGATAATATTTTTCTGTAATGTTCGAGAATCACAGCCAACTATTCATCAACAACAACAAACGTCCCTAAAAAACAGAGACAGCTTTTTGTCTCAGTGGGATAAAATTTGAGTAATTAATTGACATAACAGTAATCAAAGAATAGTTGGCAAAAATGATAGCAATAATAGAAGGTTACGTGAAACAAAAGTAGTTCAATCAGCGAGAACTTCGTTGGTGTCAAAGGCTTGATTAAAGACCACAACCTGTAAA